CCTGCCCCTTTTCCTCTGTCGTTATTATCATCATCATTTTCGCCGATAGTAGAACTGCAACAATGCTGCGCGGTATGGTTGTTCGCGAGAGCAAAAGCGATAGAATTCACTCTCTATCCCATCTCTCTCGCTCTCCCTCTTCTTCCCAGCCTTCTCCTCCCCCGCGCACCTCGCACCTGCATCCTGCTGCTGCAGTGCTGGCTGCCTCCTCCTAGAGGACTGTGGGAACGCATACCTGGTCCAGTTCAGGTGCACTCCACGCACCGCGCTATATCGGAGATCAGCTTACGTTATATGATGGTAAAAAGGGCCACGCACACACACCCACGCCGCCGTGTGTGTGAGAGTGTGTGAGCGCGCACTACAGCAGCTCAGTGCGCTCTGAATTGGTCGGGCGGCCGGGTCGGGACAAAAAGACGACGTGTCTACAGTGAGTCCACAGATGGTGGCGGGCAAGGGCACAGAGAGGGAGAGAGAGAGACGAAAGGGGGAAATAAAAGACCTAATTAAGAGACGCAGAGCGACAAGGACAACGCGGTGAGGAACAACACACGGCGCGAGCAGCAACAAGGACGACGCGATGCTGCGCGCGAGGGGTACCCCCGGTGGTACCCCCACACCGTGCGAGTAAGTATAAATTTCTCATAACTTGACAGGGCGCAGCGGTGGCGCGGATGTGTCTTGTTTTTCTTTCTGCATGCGCCCTGTGCAGTGTGTTGGAGCGCTGGTGCGCGCCCGGCTGGGGGCGGCGACCCCCTCCACCCCTCTTCCCTTCCCCTCCGCCAGCCGGTCCGAAGCCCCTCGCGGCCGTCGCGGCCCGCACGCACATATTGTAAACACCCATCCCCCTCCCTCCCCCCTGCTCCCCGACGCGCCGTAGGGTTCCCCAGGGAAGGGGCGCATCCCCCCCCCGGCCGTTGTTGGCTTTTGCGCCCCGGATTCAAAAACTCTGTCGCGCAGCCACCGCGGGGTCGGGACCGGATGCGGGGAAAAAATTACACTCGCCCATTCCATGAGAAACAAGAGGTGGCGAGAGAGTCAAAGAGTAAAAGGGAAAGGGGGGGGGGGGGGCTATGCAACGCCGTGGCATAACTCCTCTGCTCTTTGCCATAAGCCCGGGCAGCTCTGCTTGTATCCCACACCGTACTCCGCGTCACGTTCCCCGGCGGCGGCGTCACCCCCGAGTCGTACACCGCGTTACGTGCGGAAGCAGTAGCGTTACACACGTCTGGAAAAGGGAGAGAGGGAGGGAGAACGTCCGAGCGGAGCAAGAAAAAGAATCAGGCGGCGGAAACAAACGCTTTTCGCCCGAAAATTGTTCGGTCCGTCACGGTCCACCCCCACACGACTGCAAGAAGAGAGTCCCTGCACGACAAGGCCCGGGGCTGGGGTGCCGCGCCGACAGACACACCATCAGCGAGAGGAGAGAGAGACCCTTCTCCTTCTCCGCGAGCCATTCCGCTCTCTTTGCTGCCGCAGGACGCGCCAGCAGCTCGGTTGGTTGATAACGATGCGCAAAGCCGGTGGTGCTGGTGCCCGCCCGTCGGCCGGCCTCCTTCTGCTGCAAGGCGTTTTGTTTTGTCGAGAGCAGCAGCAGCAGCCGGAGTTGGAGTTGGTGTCTTCTCCTCCTCCTCTCGCCCGAAAATGAGATGCCCCGTCCGTTTTGTTACACGTTGCGGAAGCAACAAGGCTGCCGTCGTCATTACACCGCGCCGCGCCGAGACGACACGGCTTTACTTTTCCACCCCGATTCCCCCGCGCTCGGGCCGCCGCCTCACCCGGCTGTCGTCACTCATCAGTCAACAACGGGGTGTCCGAGAGACAGAGAGACACGACGACGACGGGAAAGGGGCCGAACCGAGCCGTCGCCGTCCTGTCCTGCGCGACTCGACCCGCTAAGGACGGCGACGACGAGCAGGACGAGCAACGAGCACGGCGATATGCACGCGCTGCGGAGGACGACTTATGACGACACGCAAACCCGCGGAGCGTGGTCTCTTCTCCCGCGTCCTCCTCGGGGCCGGGCAGCTCGAGCTCGCGTGCAGGCCGCGCGACGGGCGCGCGCTATCGCCGGCAATAACGTGAAACTGATGTACCCTCACGCCTCCTCCTCCTCCACCTCAACGACCCCGGCGAGCTGCTGCGGCAGTGTGTCCGAGCACGCCCGGCCCGGCCCCGTGGTAGTATCAAACGGCCACATCGGGCTGCGTGACCCCAAGGGGGCACGGGGGGCACCAGGGCGAGCGGGGGGCAGTGCGAGAGAGCCCCAACGGGGGCCAATCCAATCGGCCGGCGAGCACCCCGGCCGGGCCGGACGGGCGGGGGCCGGGGAGAGAGAGAGCAGAGCGAGAGAGAGAAGGGTTGAGGGGGCATTGATTCCCCTGTAATCGTCGGCCGCGTGTCTCGTCCCGCCCCGCCCGCCCTGCCCCGCCACGCAGCGACCCCGCCCTTTAATCTCATGACATATTCATGGCAGAGCCGGGGCACCACCGCCGGGGCGTCTGGCGGGGGGGACCGACCGACGGCGTCCTGGTCGAGCCGGACCGGGGCGATATTGCACATCCACATGGCACCCCAGGTGGTGTCTGTCGCTGCTCCCCGCGCGCGCGGCCCGCGGGACACCACCACCACCAACTCGTCGCAAAAAAGACGAGAGAAACAACGACCGGAGGGGGGACGACACTCTGCCTCTATAATCAAGTCGAGTCTCTGGCCGGTCCGAGCCCGAGCCCTGGCGGGGCTTCGCCGGCCCGCGCGGGGCCCGGTGCGTTGCCAGAGTGCTGGCGTGCCGTATGGCAGTAAAGCCCCATTATTTATCGCTGCAGTGCTTTGCTATCATCGCCCGGGCCCCGGCCGGCCGAGCGCGCGCGCGGGCCGGCGGGGGCTCTTCTTGGCCACCGACCTCCTCATCGCCGTCCTCCTTGGGGTACGACGACGACGAGACGTCGTCTTCGCCCACATGGTGAGGAGGATGATGATTGGCGACGGTCGAAAGAGAAGCCATTACACGGCGGAGCAGCCGTGAGGGGGAAGAGGAAGGGCCATTGGGATCTGCTGCTGTTGCGCGTTTCTGTGTCACACACCACATCACGACTCCCCCTACCATCTTTTTCCTCTGAAAAAACTAAACGACGCGTCGGCTCCATCAAAGGATATTTACGTCCTACAATCCCTTTGCATGGTTAATTACCACACACACACATGGAGGGTGGAGGGGGAGGGCCCCTTTTTTGGAGTAACTCCAGTAAAATGACGCAGAAACACAGCAGCAGCCGGGTCGAGCTCGGGCTCCCGGGGCTTTCAGGCTACAAATTCTGCCCCCAGCGGCAGGAATGACGTGGAACAACACATTTTAGTTGTTGCGTCTCTCTGCAGACGGCCGAAGGGGGAAGGGGGGGGGGGGAGCTGGTGACGACGGGGCCCCAACGAACCAACCAACTGCCATTCCGGGAGCGAAGAATATGGGGAAAAAATCACGTTCCGTTCGCCGAGTCGTCGTAAAGCTCGTAAGGCAGGGCAAGCAGGCAGGGGGGCGGCGGACTTGGGCGTGGCGCGGGGTGGCGACCGAGGCGGGGGCATTTCACGCTCCACAACCTTAAGGTCTTCGTACAAATCCTGCAAAACACAAATCGGCGCCGTGCTGCCGCCGTCGAGCCGCTCGCCAGGTCGGGCGAGGGAAAGGGGCAGCGGGGAGTACGTAGTAAGTACGATGAAGGGTGTGTGAGGTAGAGGGAGGGGTGGGGTTGGAGGGAGGGGAGGGTGAGGTATCCATTTCAAGAGCAGGAAGTGGCACATGGCGCACACCCTTGCGCAGCAGTCCACTGGCGCCAGGGTTGGCAAACTTTATTGAATTAAATTTTAGTATTACGCACTTTCCTGTGCAAAATATTTTATCGATTTAAACATTTAGCCTCCGTGCATAATTCATTTCGCCCTTTTCAATTTGCCCTCAATGGGTAATAAAGTGCAAAATGTTTTTGCTCCTGGGCAATATTTTTAGAAAAACACATTTTTGCTCCCGTGCACCGGGTTATATTTTCGCACAGTGCGCAACATTTCGCACAATAACATCCATTTGTCGAAAAAACATGCTTTCGCGTATACTAATCTTTCTCCTTATACGCATCACAAAATAATGCGTACCTCAAAACCGATACCCTCCGAAACGCGTCGCAACTTGCCAAAATACTCGCCTTCTCTGACCTGGATCGGGAACAATTCCATCCTTTCCTCATACCACATCCGGGGCAAATCCATAGTCGAGACTAGAGCAGCTCAATGAAAGAATGGACTTCGCCTGGATCGTAGGTAGCTAAATTGCAGCTAAAATTCAGTCCGGTTCG